ACTGATCCACATGAAAGGCTCCTCTATTATTTGAAGCTTGTTTTTTTTACAAGGTTTTTCTTCTTCTGCAGGCATTCTCGGTCTCTGCCATGTCTGGACATGGATCTTCAATTCATCCTGCAATTTCAGCCCTGAAGCTTTCCCCGCAGGCTTACCAGTCAGCCATCAGCCAGTCTCCACAAACCAGCTCCAAACAGGACTCCTGGAACAGCCTGGTCTTAGCTGAAAACCATGGGGACATCATAACTGCATAAACTGGTCTTCCACCCATAGACTTGAGGCTGATCCACTGGAGAGGTGAAGAAGATGCCACGTAATAATCATGTCCATGTTGTTTCCCTCCTCCCCTGCTCTCCTGCCTTGGTGAGAAGTTCCAACAAAGAGGTAAAGAGGACTTACGTGAAGTGTAGGAGAGCTCTTACAAAACAAGCCAAGAAGACTCAAATCTCAAAGTACCTAATGGATTTGAAACCCTTTTCCTCCCTTCAAACAAGTTGCCTTTTATTTGATTGCCACCACCTTCTAAGAAATAGCCAGAAACACAAAGATGAACATATTTTTTTTTGTGGGGGGTTGTCTATTTAAAAGCATTTGCCATTTGAGACTTAGACAATGGTGGCACAGACACATCTTTTTCTCCTGTCATCATCCATGTGTTTCCTGACCAGAGGGAATGCCGTCGTCGTTACCCCATTTCAGTGATCTTCCACCAAATGGAGCCAGTTTCAGAACAGTTTGTTGAACAGGCACGCTGCGGTGGCTTTAGTGGATTTGATATGATCTAGGGCAGAGAAAAAAAAAGAGACCCACATCCTCATGCTCAGCTCATGCATCTAGAGCATTGCCTTCATTTCCTTAGATGGTCTGAAAACCTAACGAATGTCTGTATTTAATAGTAACTCCTTTCCTATTTATCAATACAAAATCAAGGGACTGTGTTTCTAAAAGATGGTTGGCTGAGCCTGGAGAAAGTCTGTCTGAAGTCAAAGGGGGATATTGGAAGGAGAAACTTTCTGGAAGCGGGTAGAGGAAACCCACCTTGGTCATCAAACCCTGGAGGAAACTGTTGGGCTTTTCCCTTACAAATAGCTACAAGCCAGGCTTAGAGATTATTGTAGAGCACAGCAAGTGAAAGTTTGCTCTTTAACACTGCTGTGCTGTTGCTTTTGAGACAGTTAATTTTTTCGCATACTTTTCTGTTGTCTTCATTGTCACTGATGAAATCTGATTGTCATTTATTTCTCATTGCACTCTGAGTGCCCACTGTTCCCCTAGCAGCTGGCTTATGATCATTTTCCATGTCCTAAGGATTTCACCTTTCACAACAAGAAAAGTCCTCAGCCTCTAATGAATGCAGGCAGGGGCCATCCTCTTTACTAAGCATGTGCATAGACTTGCTTGCCTGCAAGAGAAGCTTAACTCCATTCATACACAAGTATTAAACAAAACTCATGTGTTTACCTAACCATAAGCCTCTTAGCAACCAGAAAATTCTGGAAAATTGAGTTGGAAGTGATGCTAAGAGGCCACAGACTCATTCCCTTGTCCAAAAGGGATCAGTTCAACCTAACCTACCTTTAGCTGCTCTTTGTCTAACGTGTGCTTAACAAAATCCAGCAATGCATACGCTACAGCTCCTCTGTGCAGTCTGAATGCTTCCACAGATGCTTGCCAGCATGCTTCCATCAGCGTTTCCAAGGAGGGACAGCTTTGCCTGTACAGGTAGAGAATTTCTGGGAGACCTCATCCTACAAGATTCTCCAGTCTTGTTTCTGTCTGCTCCCAAACTCCATTACCCTTCTTCTTGCCTTCCCAGCTCCTTCTTTTCCTCCTTGCATCCAGAACTTGACTATGGAACCAGGTGATACCAGAAGAGGGATGGTGTATCCCCACAAAATATGCTGAAGGATGTAAGGCGCCACCCTCCATCTTACACTCACACTTCACCATTCCCACAAAGAGTGTTTCTGACAAAATACCAAGATACGTGGCTTGGTGAAGAGGAAAGCCACAGACATAGTTGAAGCAAAACCACGACCTTGTATTATCTGTGTTTAACTCTCTATTTTCCTCCTCATGGTTGAAAAGTTTCTTTAAGGAGAAGGATTCAACTGGACTGGTTGTGACAGAGAGTTGAAATGGAGCACAGTAGAGAGCTGGACCCCTCCACAACCCCTGCGCTCTGCTCAGAACTCAGATTTGCAGGGGTTTGTAGAGGTGACAGAGACTCTGCAGTACCTGGAGAAAGACACCATGGCAGTGATGCCATGTCTGGATGGTGTTTGCACCTTGAGGCTCCTCACTGAGCTTCCCCATAAGAAGTGTGGTCCTCCCATTGACAAGGAGTGCCTTTCAGCTGGCTTATGGGAATGAAACTCCTGATCTGGAAAGTTTTTCCATCTGCCACTTGCAAGATAACCATAGAATTTGCACTCTGTCCTTCAGAGCTAATGCAAGGTCTAACCTCATTAGTTTATTAACTACAGACAAGGAAGAGGCGTTCAACGAAACATGAATAAAACATTACCTTGAAATCCTGTGATTCTGTTGAAGCCCAGCAGCCTGCAGAGAAGAGGCCAGAAATAGCACCTAAGAACATGAATTTGGGGTGAAAGAAAAAACAAAGGTGTTTCTCCAAGAGCACACAGGTCATTAGTCAGCCTCCTCCTTGTACTGCATTGCTTTGCACTCAGCAGCCAAGATCTCTTGGGATGCAGCTGTGATCTTGTCTGTGGCAGAGAAGAACACACCCCAGAGATGCCTCTTGGCTTCTGCACACATTTCAGATGCTTAAAACTACCCTGAACAGCCTGAGGAAGAGAGAAGCAGGCAGCCTCCTGGAGAGGAACAAAGGTCCAGACCAAAAGCACAGCATTTCTCTCTCTGTGCTTATGCTCCCAAAGGCTTTTTCTGCCTTGCCCTTTTACTGTGTTCCTTGTATTGCCCTCAAAGCCAAAATTCCCGGCTGAAGTTCTCTCCTGCCCTGAAAACACACTCTTAAGTGCCATAAAGGAATCTGTTTGCCATGCCAAGCAGAAAAACTCTGCTGAGACGTAAGTCTGGTGGTTCCCTGGCTCACATTCTCTTAGGTTACCTAAACGATAGAATTTGGCTAACTGGTTTTCTGCTTCCCACACAGCCTTAAAAATTGAACACTGAAACTCAGTGAGGAGCATTTACAGGGATCCTGATAACAAGACGTCTGCTTTCATGAGCCTCTCGGCCCTTTCATAGTAGAAATGAGCTCTTCTGCCACTGCTTTTACAAGTAGTTGAAGCTCAGATGTGCCTCACATTGCCAACAAAGCATGCCAACACCAGAAGGGATGCATGAAGGGATGCTTACAGGACATGAGAATGACAGTCCTACCAAGAGGTTCAGCTCAACCTAGCTGTGGGGCAACCCCTTAAATTTGGGGTTACATTTGAGCTTTGCTTTCCTTCAAACGATAGGAGAAGCACGGAGAACTTGCTTTGTTAATGAAATAAAACACAATCATCAGAGATTTAATATAGCAAAACAATTGTTGCTATTATTATTGCTATAATTTGTTCCATTGCAGCATGTCTGGAAGTCCAGCTGAGGACCACCAGCCAGATGACTTCCAGAGGTCCCTTCTACCATCAGCCACACACAGTGATAGGCCTGAATTTGTGTATTTGTACACACAGAAAAAGGACAGAGCTGAGAACCATCTCTTCCCTGAAGAGTAAGAGCAAAGTGCCTGGTCCTGCAAAACACTTGAGCACATCTACCAACGTATTTGCAGAAGTTGTTCCCTTAAAGCTGACCATTAATCACACACATAAACTGGGATGCCTGAGGGTTTGCAGCACATATCTGGGTTGTGCCAAACCAGACCATTGCTATGGCTCCATGGCAAGATGAGAACTGGGATGGAGAGAGAGAAAGGGGTGGAAAGGTCATTTATCATTTTAAATGTCTTTCCTCCTTGTGAAAGTGCAATATCTTGAATTGCATCCGTTTTTGTTTCACAAGTTAATCCAAAGAGATCCATATTTCACTTGCAATTACATGGGCTGATTAAACCTCCTCCGATCAGGAGGAGCTCAGGAGCATCGTAAGGGAGCTTTGAAACCAATCAACAACTCTTAATATAACTGAATATGACAACAGTTAACATGACTGAAGCTGTGACTGTGCCAGGGGTGGTGTTTGGTTTTGTTTGTCGGTTTTGGTTGGTTGTTTGTTCTTTTCTCATGCATTAAGTTTGAAGATTCCCGTGTCAGCTGAGGAAATCCCACAGAAACAGACACTGATTCGTAAGGGGGAGAGGGAAACCAACCAACTGAACAAGCTGTAATTATTTAAAGATGTAAAAAAATATATATTATGAAGTAGTATGGCTACCAATCCACATAACGTCTACACCTTTAGAACGAATGGAAATAAAACAATAATAATAAAACCAAAAGCTTGGGTCTTGACTTTCCTGCTGGGCATCCTGGGGAGAGCTGGGGGTAACTGCTCTCATATTCAGTGCACCTGGAAAAGCAATGCTTTTTTTAATGCACAGGGAGAAAAACAGCCTAGATGTTTTCCATCTTGTAATACCATTAGCACAAAGGAAAAAAGATGAGCTCCTGCACTAGGATAGCACCTGAATGCCATCACAATTTATCTTTTTGCTCTTTTCACAGACGTGAGTTTGTGGAGCACATTGCTAATTCAGTCTAATTGCCTTCAGCTGAGCTCACAGATGCCACCCGTTAGCTGAAAGCACACACAGCTCTCATACAATCACCTCCTCTTTCTGATGGGGGGAAATTCAGACCCCTTCCCAGTTCAACCAGCCCCTGGGTCTGGTGTAATCGATGGGGTGGGTGGGGCCAGCACTTGAAACCTCATCCACTTCTCCTTTACCAGCCAGCAGAGGAGCTCTCTTGCTGCTTCTATGTTAGTGGTTGGAAGGGCCTTCTTTCTCTGGAGAAGGGTGGTAAGGAGATTTTGGGGTGTAAGGGATAGGAAAAGGGCAGTGCTGGTTTGGGCTGTGAGAGTGTTGAGAAGTGACTGAAGGCAGGGGAATGGTTCAGGAGCATGAGGTAGAAGAAGCTGTCAAAGAGGAAGGGAGGTGGCTGCTCAGTCTGTTGTGTACAGGGTAATGGCTTGGGGGCTGGGTGCAGTGTTTAGGGCAGGGGGGTGTGCAATGTGTGTGTGAAGGTGTTGGGTGAATTGCTTGTACTGTGCTGCTTGACACAAATCCAGTGCCTGGATAATCAGGGTGAAGACCTGGAGGGCAATGGTCAGAGCCTTTGGTGTCAAGAGCTGATCCCAGGGTTTTGGATTGCTGCTGGCACCTTCAGCAGCAGGAATGTCTTCTAGGTGGCTCTTGACCTGTTACTGGCTTTTGCCTGTAGTCTGAATGTGGTATGTAGCTAAATGGAGCTAGGGTGTGATTTAATTACCTCCCGCCCTAGGAAGCGTGGGGATTGAGCTCAGTCTTCTGTTGCTGCTAAAGCAGTCGTGTTTGTATAAGCAGTTAATACCTTTTTATCTCATGTCTTAGATCCAGATAATGTTCTCTGACATACATCATCTCTTGGAGCTTTTCCTGAAAGGCTTTGGCCCACTGCAGCACATGAAGGCTTTACAGCTGTGTTGCATTGCCCAGCCCTATTGAGGGTACATTCACGCAGCACTGCAGCTCACCACCCTGTGTAGGTGGCTGCTACGCAGGCTGCTTCTGCCTCTTATGGGCTGGGAGCTGCAGTGGGTGAGCACGTGTCCTTGCTCAAGCAGAAGATGGGTTGGAGGGCTGGGGCTGAAGCAGGCCCTACTGAAGGCTCTGGTTTCAGTTGCTGTGAGCTGATGCGAATGTGGGCTGTTGCTTCCTTGTGTTTTCTTGCTCTTTTTCTGAGCTGTAAGCTTTCCCTCAGCTCTAAGGCACCAAGGGTGAGAAGGACCTGCCTTTTAGAGATGCCAGAGGGCCCATCAGTGAGGAAGTTCCAGCTGCTGACCTCACGTTTTGTGGGACAAGTGGTGGCCAAGGTGGGGGGAAGCAGCAAGAAGATTAATGTGAATGACCTGAATGCCCTGAGGCTCCAGGATTCCCAGGTGAGCTGTGCTGAAGGTGACCCATATCAATCTGTGGCAGGTCTGAGAGGGAAGCCACAGCTACCCTGCATCTGTGTCACAGAAGGTGCGTGGCCTGAGAGTGGCACCAGGGTTGTGTGTGAGGCTGTCGTGGAAGGTTTATAGAAGATGAGTTGGTTTGTTCAGTATGTGAACGTCAAGAGGAGCAGCAGGCTTGTTCCTTTCAGCTGTGAGCTGGCACAGAGGCATCCCTTAGACCAGAAAGCCAGGTTTTACTTGGCTAGGTGGATGTCAGTGCTGTAGGTACCCATAACTATCTAAGCCACACTAGCCTCACCTCAGACTGCATTGTGGTTCCAGCTGTGGGTGCAGCTGTGTGTTGTTCAAGCCACTTGTGGTTGGTCTGAGTGTGTCTGTGTGTCTGCCGACATCTCTGTCCTGCCAGGAGCCTCCAGAGTAGCATCTGAACAGAGATCCTCAGGACATCCCACTTTTTTTCCCCCTCAGGTCCATGGGAAGAACTTATTCCTAGCGTTTGTGGCAGCCAGCTCTCCCTTAGAACCAAGTGTGGAAGAGACAGAGCTGCAAAAAGAGGCTGCCACAGGGTCTAGGTCCCTTGTTCAGGGAAAGCAAGGGCAGGTTTGTGCTCCATTGACTCCGACCCAGGAAGAAGAGCTGCAGGAACTGCAGAACTCCAGACCTGGTGCTCCAAGTGCAGCAGGGGGCCCAGGCAGTTGGCTGCGCTTCCACTTCGGTTTGTTTGGCAGCGTTCGGGCAAACGAGTTCTCAAGAGCAAGCAGAGCCAATAAGAGGGGGGACTGGAAGGATCCTATACCCAGGTATTTGGCAGAGGCCTCTTACAAATGTTCCTCTGTCATTCTGGAGAGGCCCCGTTCAGGGTAAATTGCTGTGGAAACGCTTTCAGTCCTCTCCTTCTTTCCCCTCAGTGTTAAAAGCAAGCCTAAGTGGTGATATTGTGTCTTCAGTAGATGTGAGGTGTATTCAACCAGGGAGTCAGCATTGGGTGGTTTGCTGTGGACGTGCTTCATTGTCTTGGTGTTGTATCCTTAGTGAGAGGTTTTCTGCCCTTTGCCTTCTGCCTCCTCCCAGCTTCAGCATCTGACTATTAGACTCATTAGTATTATATTGATAATCATGGGATTAATAGCATGCATCTAGGGTATTTGAAACAGCAGTGAAAATACCATTGTAGGAGCCCAGGCCACTGGTGGCGTATTAAGAGCCACTGGAAATGTATTAAGGGGTAAATACTGAAGGATAGTGCAGACCCAGCTCTTATGAACTGTTTAATTTGAGATTGTGGAGTCTCCTCCTCTGCAGATGTTTAGAATCTACTTGTATGTCTTCCCATGCAACTGGCTGTAGGGAACTTCTCTCTGCCTGCTGTTGTCTTTAGAACCTGCAGGGCAGCAGGAGGGATAACTGTCCATGAGTTGTGCGTATTTAGAACCTAAAAGCTAAACTGCTTTCTCTGCGCTTCCCATTCTTTGCAAGTCTCTTCAGCTAAACCAGAATACAACGAGTGGGTCAGGGTGTTTGTGGCTAGTGATCTCACTCATCTCTTCTGCGTCTCTCAGGCTGGTGCTGTATTTTGAGAGTGGAGGCTTCCTTGTTTTCTACAACTGCCGAATGCACTGGTGCTCATCTCCGGTGGCTGATCCCACTTCTGACATCCTGTCTGCAGAATTCCACCGTGGCCGGGCACTGGATGCCCTCTGCACATCTCATCCCATCTGCTACACCCTCTTGGACCAGAGATACTTTTCAGGGCTGGGTGAGCTCCAGAGCACAGTGGCAGAGCAAGAAAGAAGAGGGGTGGGATGCCTGCACCCAGATCTGCATGTTGGAGCTTCTGTTCCTTAAGGTTGGGTTGATCCAGCTGAGAGGACACGTGGTGGTTTTGGGGAGGAGAAGGCTTGCAATCTCTAGCTGCAGGCTTCAGATGCTTGAGTGCAGCCTTTGTGTGCAGTGAGCTGTTGTAGCATGGGTGGTTGGTACTTGTGAGAGAAGGATCCACTTGAAGCCTGGTGGGAAGAGACTATCCTCCAGTTTATTCCCAGCTGAAGGTTTACTTCTTGTAAGCCACCTCGGATACAGGAAATGGCATTGCAAGGTGTGATCAATCAGGCTGAAATCAGAGTGGCTGGATATATGGGTCTGTGTCTTCTTGCACAGAAATAGCCTTATGATCTCTTTATTTCTGACCCTTTGCAGGGAACATCATTAAAAATGAAGTCCTGTACCTGGTGAAGATCCACCCATTAACACAAGGATCTCTCTTGGCTCAGTCGGATCTGGAGCATCTGCTTGATTGTGCCATTCAGTTCACCTCCGACTGGCTGCAGAGCAAGCTGCAAGGCAAAGGGCTGCACCTGCAGATCTACCAGAAGGAGCAGTGTCCTCTTGGGCACGTAGTGATGAAAGGAGCCCTAGGACCCCCAGGTGGCTGGAAAAGGCTTACATGGTGGTGTCCTCAGTGCCAACCTGCAGTGCTGCCAGGGGATGGGGATCTGGCCCTGGGCACTGAGTGACGTGGCTCTGTGTTCCTATTTTTTTTTTTTCCTTGTGTAGTTCAGCATTAGATAATCCTGTGCCTGCTTAGAGCTGAGTACGCGTTGAGTAGTGATTAGGTGTGGTTAAAATTAAATGGTTGTTCCCTCCATCAGCTCTTAGCAGCTTCCTTCCAAAGGATGAAAACAACCCTCCGCAGTGCTCGGTGCTGCTCATCACTGCCCGCCTCTGAGCTGTCTGCCCCATTGGCAGGGGTGGCAATGCTCATTAAAACCCACCATTAAGCCATGGATCAGAAGTATGGTGGCTCTGGGGGTGTCAGTGCGTGACATGGAGCGCGTAAAACTCATCTTCTCAGACACAGGGTTTGGATTTTGGCTGGCCTGAGGGTTGGGCTCCTTGGGGGTCCCCCTCTGCCGTGGGCTGCTCTGTGGGGCTGCTGGCTGCGAGGGAGCACGGAGGAGAAACACCTTGGAGGGAATGCACGGTGGGTGACTGAGGCAAGCAGAAGCACTTCAGCTCTAGTTGGGAGTGAAGAAGAAGGAGCTTGGGGGCACGCCATGTCCCCAGGATGGCCGTGAGGATGCTCCAAGAGGGGGTGAGGAAGGGTGAGAGGCGGGGCAGCCATGGTGAAGCTCAGCCCCTCGCCCCCTCAGGGCGGCCACGCGAGTGCCGGTGGGCGCCGTCACCCAATCAGCGCCGCCCGCCGGCCGTCACACCAGCTCCGCCGCACTCCTATTGGCTGGCGCAAGGCTGGTGCGAGGACACGTCTCCCAATGGGCTCGCCTCGCGCTAACCGAGCCATGGGACGAGCGAGCTGATTGGAAGGGGGGGCGGAGCGGCCCCGCCCACCGGCTGTTAAGCGGCGGTTTGAGGTGGCGGGAGGAGGAACAGGCGAGGGGGGGGGGGGGGAGCAGCGCGTCGGGAGCGCGCGGGGCGAGAGCGCGTGTGGCGGCGGTGCGGCCGTCATGGAGCTGCTAAGGAAATGGCTGGGGCACCCCGAGGACATCTACCACCTGCTGCGCTTCAAGATGGGCGGCTACCGCGTCGTCATGCCGCGGATGGACCCGGTGAGCGGCGGGGAGGGGGGTGGCTCAGGCGGATGTCACCTCGCGGGGAGGGTCGGCTGCTGTGAGCATCGCCTGACAGTAGTGCTGTGCAGCAGCTCCCTGCTGCCGTGCGTTGCACCGGGCCGGGCTTTGCTCGAGTTCTGAGCACTGCGTTGCTTCGGAGCATCGCCCGGCTTCAGCGTTGCGTTGTGCATCGCGTCTCTTTGGGACGTCACACGGCCGCGGTGCTTTACAGCAGCTTCCTGCTTCTAGCTGTGCTTGCATTGCACAGCCGGGATGCTCTGCATGCATCCCAGCTGCTGGAAGCATCGCACAGCCGGGATGCTTTGCATGTATCACAGCTGCTGGGAGCATCGCACAACCAGGGTGGTTTGCATGCATCGCAGCTGCTGGGAGCATTGCACAACCAGGGTGGTTTGCATGCATCCCAGCTGCTTGGAGCATTGCACAGCCGGGATGCTTCGCATGTATCACGGCTGCTGGGAGCATCGCACAGCCAGGGTGGTTTGCATGCATCGCAGCTTCTGGGAGCATCGCACAGCCGGGGTGCCTCTCAGCAGCATCCTGTGTGCTGGATCAGCCGTGACACGCAGGTACCCCACACCGCTCTGCAGCACCGTGCAGCTTCCCGTGCGTTCACACGGGCTCTGCTCTCTCCGTGCATCTCACGGCCGCGGTGCTCTGCACGCATGGCGGTGCTGGCAGGGGGCGCGCCGTTCTTAGGGGCCGGTCTCGGGGCGGAGCCCCCTTCCCTCGGCCTGCCCTCCCCGACACCCCCCGCCGTGCCCATGGCGGCCAGCAGCAAGGCCACGGCTCTGCTGAAGCGCACGTTGGCTCTGTCCCCCCCTCGGGGCGCTCCCCGGACGGCTTTAGGGCGGCTGCGGGGCGGAGGGCGGCGGGGACAGCGCAGCGCTGCCGCTTCCTCCGGGCTCCCTCCGGCCGCTCGCCTTCAGCCCCCCCCGTTGTGCCCCCCTTTGTGCCCTCAGGACTCGCTGGGACTCGGGCTCCGCACCTGTTACCGCTACCTCAACCAGACCAGCCGTAGCTTCGCCGCCGTCATCCAGGCGCTGGATGGAGAGCTGCGGTGAGTGGCTTTGGGGGTGGTTTGTGCGATGCCCACGTTAGTGGCTAAGGGGGGGTGTGCAGTGCTCCCGTGCGCTGGGGTTGTGATAGTAGCAGGGGTCCATGCTGCGTCCCCGAGTGCTGCAGCGGCGTGGCTGAGCAGATCTGGGTGTCTGTGCACTGCCTGCATGTGCTGGGGGTGTTTGGTTGGGATAGCAGCAAGCGTGGATTGTTAATAGTACTGGGGATGTTGAATTGGGATAGCTGTGGAGTTTGTACAGTGCCCCCCGAGTGCTGTAGCTGCTTGGTTGGGATGGCAGGAGGTGGCTATGCTGTGTCCCCAGGCCTTGGGACTGCTTGGTTGGATGCTGCGTCCCCAGGCTTTGGGATGGGATGGCAGGAGGTGTCTATGCAATATCCCCAGGCACCAGAGCTCCCTGTCTGAGCTGGTTGAGGGTCTGTGCAATGTCCCTGAGTACTGGGGATGCTTGATTGAGCTGAGCTGAGCAGGGGGTGTTGAGCCCATGCGGTGCCCCCAGGTGCTAAGGCTGCTGATTTGGGATGGCCGGGGGTGTCCATGCAAGTGTCTTGACTAATTGACTGGATTGGGTGGGAGGTGTCCATGCTACACTCCTTGATTGAGCCACTGGGAAGTGCTTTACCACGCTGAGCAAAGCTTTCCAGGGGGTGCTCAGTGCAGCCCTACTACGTGCAGCAAGACATGTGCGTTATCCCAGCAGAGTTGCTCAAGCATGATGCCTCCATTCTGCTCCCTGCCAGCAACAGAACTCCTGTGTTCTTCAGCCTGGGCATTGCAAGCTCTCAGCCAGCAGATGGTTAAATGCAGCACTGGGCAGCGTGCTGTTTGTGACACCCTGGGAATGTGTGTCCTGGCAGCTTCGGGAGCTGCCTTTGGGTGCCTTGCTGGCTGCGAGGGGTGGAGAGGCATGGTGGGAAGCAGCAAACAAAACAAGGGGTCTGAAACCTGCAGGAAGGGTGCGTGTGGGATCAGCTGCCTCTAAACTTCACCTGAGAGTTCCTCAGAGGCTTGCTCTGTGCTCATTTTTGCTTTACAAGTTTTGATAACCTGTGCAGGAAAGCTGCACGTGGTAATAATAGCAGATGATGCAAGACTCAGCTTGCCTTGAGATTTTGTACATTCCAATGCACATTTTCCCTACTTCCTTATATTCTTACAGAAATGGCTGTTTTCAGTACTGATCTTTTTCCATTTAATCCCAAGCCAGGTCAGTAGTTAAAGCCAGAGGTTGCTGTAGGTTTCACTCTGTGCTTGCAGCCGAACAGCTTTGCACAGTGTTGGCCCTAACACTGTGCTGTCTGTGGATTTCCCAGCCCTGGGCTGGTATTTTGGACGCTGACCCATAGTTATATCCAGCATTTGTGAGTGTCTGCAGGCTGTTTTGCAGGAAGGCAAAGAAACCCAGTGGTTTGGCTCAGATTGCATAGGAAGGCATGAGCAGAGCCAGGGACTGAACTTCTTTTTCTCCTTGCTTGCTGTATCTGCTAATGCAGTTATTAAGATACAGAGCAATAACACACCTTGCAACCTGTTCCCTGTGTCTGTATGCAGTGCTTGCCTCGGTCATCCCACTTTTATCTCCCTTGTCTGTCTTTCTGCTCTTTATCCTTGCATTGTAGCTTACTGGGATCATGAAGGCTCCTTATCCTGAGGGCTCAGAAACTCCATGCCTGGCATCCTAAAAACGTTGTTCCTGGATATTTGCAACCTATGTGAAGGGATTGTTGCTGAATTCCAGGCTGGATGTGGCTCTGAGCAGCCTGGTCTGGTGGTTGGCGACCCTGCACATAGCAGGAGGTTGAAACTGGGTGATCATTGTGGTCCTTTTCAACCCAGGCCATTCTGTGATTCTGAATTGCAGCTGGCTCTATAGAGAAACACATTATCAAGGCACAGTAGTTTCACTTCAAGAGTTTTTGAGGCAAAAGAGGGAGAATAGGAAGGTTGTGATTTACAGGGCTTGAACCTGATTGGAACAGCAGGGCTTCCCAAGGAATTGATTTTGCTAGCTCAGGTCAGAGGAGCGCTGAGTCGTAACAAGGGTAAAACTGGCTCGTAGCAGAGTTACAGTGCTTCCTCTGAGTACTTCATAAAGCAGAGCTTCTGGGAAAGTGCTTGGAGTGATGCTCCCGAGGCTCAGGTACTGCCAGCTGGGCTAGAAGTCATTGGTGTCCTCTTAGTTTCTTTTTGGTTGGATAAATCTTGTGAATTATGTCATAGAACCACAGAATGGCCTGGGTTGAAAAGGACCACAATGCCCATCTAGTTTCAACCCCCCTGCTATGTGCAGGGTCGCCATCCACCAGACCAGGCTGCCCAGAGCCACATCCAGCCTGGAATTCAGCAACAATCCCTTCACGTAGGTTGCAAATGACCTTATGCAGCCCATTTCTTTCTTGGGAAGTGGGAGGCTCAAGACTTGGATTTCATCACCAGCTGAGCCAGCATCGTAGCTTCTGGTGGTGGGAAGAGGAGAGAGAGGCTGCCTGGTTCCTCTGCTCCCAGTCCAGTCCTCCTTTGGGATGGATGCTGCAGGTTCCTGTGGTCTGCAGAGAAAGGAGACCTTGTCTGGGGATGGGAGAGCTGCAGCAAGGACAGAAATGGAGAAACAGAATCATAGGATATCCCAAGTTTGAAGGGACACACACGGATCATCGAGTCCAACTCCTGGCTGCACGCAGGACCCATCCCAGGCACAGAACTCAAGCTCCAGCCCCAGGCTGAAGTCAGCCTTGCTCTACAGAAGCCATCACTTCTCATTTGTGAAGAGGAGGAGGTGCTGCTCCTCTGCCCAGCACTGCTGTGTGCTTTTTGGCAAGGACGACACTGCGTTGTTGGCTTTGGCCCCTCACATCAGCCTTGGTCTGGAGCTGCTTTCACCTAGTAATGAGTGCTTAAGCAATCCCAGCTCATTTCCATTTGTCAACCATTTAATAAGTACATCACCCCTTTGGAAATTCTCTGTGCTCATTAAGAGCTAGG